GGGAGAGTAGGTCATGGCAAATTTTTTTTGTTCTCAAGAGTGGAAAACTATCACTTAGGAAGCTGATGGGAAGGATCTTATTCACAAGGTGGGTAATGGACCTTGTCAGTGATGCAGATGACACTAAGGAAGATAATCCTGTTAAGGGGCTCCAAAGAGGTGAGATCACTTATTGTGAAACCAGAATTACTGAGAAGTGAGGAAGAGTCCCAGTTAGTGAAAGAGTAAGAGTATTTCTTAGAGTTGGAGGTGGTGGGGTCAATGCCCTGGTGTATGTGGCATGAGCTATGTTATGGGAAGCTAGTGAACGAAAGTCACCATAACAGGAAGCCAGGATGATTTGCTGAAGAGGAATACTAAAAAGTGCTGGAGAATTACTAAGGAAGGGTATTTGTGTCTGAGAGCATCACTAGAAATAGTACAGCATGGTGGATAAAATTTAGAAGGATTAAGACCTGTATTCCACTTTTGGCCACACCTCTACCAGCTCTTGGAACCGCTAACCTTATGCTGGACATGTAGATATTACTTTCTTTTTTTTTAATTTGGTAAAGCTTTATTGATATCTGATGCACATAGCATTTAATTCAGCTGTGTGAGTGTACAACTGAATGGATTCAGTATATTCACGGGTTTGTCCAACCATTTCCACATTCAACTTTAGGACATTTTCATCACCCCAAAGAGAAACTCCGTACCCAAGAGCCATAACTTCACAATGTCCCCAGCCATATGCAACCACTAGTCTACTTTCTGTTCCTATAGGTTTGTCTATTAGGGACATTTCATGTAAATGAAATCAAACAGTATAGGATTTTTAATAACTGTCTTCTTTCACTTTGCATGTTTTCAAAGTTCATCTATGTTGTATGTAGCATGTATCCGTACTTCGTTCCTATTTATTGCTAAATTAAGATTTCATCATACCATATTTTATCCATTCATCAGTTGATGGACATTGTGTTGTTTTCTGCTTTTTGGCTATTATGAATGATGCTATGAACATTTGTGTTCAAGTTTGTGTGGACATTTTTCCTTTCCTTTGAGTAGATAGAGACGTAGAAGTGGAACTTCTGGGTTGTGTGGTAACTCTGTTTAATTTTCTGAAGGACTATCAACTGTTTTCCAAAGAAGCTGCATCATTTTATATTCCTACCAGCAGCATTTGAGGGCCTGAGAAATACTTAAAATCTGCAGCAGATCTGGGTTTTTTTTTTTTTTTGCTATTGCATTTTTTAAAATTAAGATGTAATTGATATATATGCAAATGTGTTCGTAAGAGTGCTAGTGAAATAGAAATATTCAGGTAGGTAGCTCTTCCTTTTTTTCTCCCTTTTTGGGCTTTTGTCATGCATATTAGGTCTACATGTTACATACTCAACAATACTTGGTTAAAATTTTTACTGTATCTAATTTAATGCCTCTTAAAGGAACAGAGGAGAAGGATATATTTGTAGTATTAAATATCTTAACATTTTTTGCCTTCTCTGGTTTATTAGTTCCTGTGAATTCAAGTTACCATCTGGTGTCATTTCTGTACTCCAGTTCAGCTTTGCTCTCAGCTACTTCCTTTGTGCTGCTAATAGCAAACATGATAGACCCCAAATATAATTTATACACATTGTTTTCTATAATTGCTCTGCAAATCAGTTAAGTAGAAAGAGGAAATATGCTGTCTTTTATAGTTACATAAACACCTTTACTCTGCTGGCGGCCCCAGGTACCTCCTGGGGAAGATGCCTTAACACTCAAACAGGAGTTTTGGGGGGAAAGAGAGGTCCTATCTTGGTGGCGCCCCCTGGAGTGGCCATCTGTCTGAGCTGAGAGCAGGAAGAAAGATGTGGGTGGTGGTTCAAATGCTACAAACTTCACTGAATGGGATTTTCTGGTATGTTGCTTGCCTCAGTAGGCTGACTGCCCTTGGAACAATTTCCAGAGACTGCCTGGTTGTGTTGTTCACCAGTTAGGTGAACACCTTTGTTTCACAAAGGGATTTCATGTGTAAAGTTTGGTTTGTTCCTCACAATTTTATGAAAGAAGCCGGGGAAGGATTTCTAGCTCTACAGATGAAGCTCAGAGAGAAGTAACTTGCCTAAAGTTATAAAGCTTGTCAGAACCATGTTTTCAGTCTTTCAGGAAGTATATGCCTGCTCTGTGCTAAGCATTAAATTTAAAATGTTGAAGTTACTGTCTAGACAGGAGACAGAAAACAGGCAATTACAGTGCAAGTTCAAGTGCTAAAATAGAGATTAAAATATATGTTGCTGTAGGAAACAAGAAGAAGGGTATCAGGCTTGAGTAAGAATTTGAATCCAAGCATTTTGATCCCTAATTGTATTTTCCTTATAAATAGAAAGGATTTTATTTATTTACTTACTTTAAAGAGATACTGTATAGTGTGATTAAGAAGGGGGAAAAAAGGAAAGAGAAAAAGAAAGGAAGAAAAAGAAAAAAGAAGGCAGACAGAAGCCACAGTGGTATTGGGTTTCAACTTTGGTTCAGACTGTTGTTAATCTTGGGCAAATCACTTCAATCTCTCTGCTTCAGTTTCCTAATCTGTAGAATGGTACCAATGCTACTTACCTTAGCTCTTAGATTATAAAAGAATATATGTAATATGCTTAGAACTGTACCTAGTGAATAGTTTGTACTATAGAAGTGGTTGCCAAAGAAATTCTATTAGTGAAAGAATGTAGATAATATTGAACTCTCCCAAGGTATGCTTATCAGTTTCCTCAAAAATGATAAAATGCAAAAGCTGAAATTGACTTTTCAGAGTAAAATGCTTGCTTTATCAGTAAAATTGTTTCATTTACACTGACAAAAGTGAGATTTAGGGTTAATTAAAAAGAACAAGAACTCCTTATCAGGAGATAATGGGAACTTCTATAATCTTTCAGATTATTTGTATTTGCCATATGGTGATTTAATTTTTAATTGTTTTAAAGTATTGTTGGCACACGTTACATTGGTTTCAGGTGTATACTTAGTGACTGGACAGCTCTCTACAGAATGCTAAGCTCACCACAAACATAGCTACTGTCTGTCACTATACTATTACAATGCCATTGTTGACTATAATCCCTATGCTGTACCTTTTATTCTCATGACCTATTCCATAACTGGAGGCCTGTATCTCCCGCTCTCCTTCATCTGTTTTGCCCATTCCCACCACTCCCCTTTGGCAACCATCAGTTTGTTCTCTGTATTTGTCTATTTCTGCTTTTTGATTTTTAGATTCCACATGTAAATTAAATAATATGGTATTTGTTTGTGACTTCTTTCACTTAGCAGGATACCCTCAAGGTCCGTCTGTTATCACACATGGCAAGGACTCATTCTTTTTTATATAATATTCCATTGTATGTGATGCTGGGCAGGCCGAGACCCCAAGAAAGGGGACCTCACTCAGGCCCCTCACCAAGAGGGTTCTTGGCTTTGTGTGAAAAAAAATTCAAGAGCAAGCCACTTAGAATAAGGGACAAAGATTAAATATGCAAAAAAGGAGCTACTTCAAATACAAAGTATCCGTCTCCTTCCAGGAGAGGAAGAGGATCCCTCATTGCTTCTAAGGGTTTTAGAAGTTTTTGTTTCATTAGCTAACCATATAGGGAGGGGATTACTCTTCAACTGTGGATTTCTCATTCACATTGAGCAGTTAATTTTTCCATTGTCTAGGGTTGTAGGATAACCCACCAGGAAGCAATTTTAAGGATATCCATCTATATATATAGCTTTTAATACCATCAAGAGTGGTGTTTTGTGGGGCGCCTGGGTGGCTTAGTCGGTTAAGCGTCCGACTTTCGCTTAGGTCATGATCTCGCGGTTCGTGGGTTCGAGCCCCGCGTCGGGCTCTGTGCTGACTGCCAGCTCAGAGCCTGGAGCCTGTTTCAGTCTGTGACTCCCTCTCTCTCTGGCCCTCCACTGCTCACGCTGTCTCCTCTCTCCTCTAGAAATAAATAAAACAATTAAAAAAAAAAAAAGTTAAAAAAAAAAAAAAAAGGAGTGGTGTTTTGTGGTTTTCCAGTTGGATCTTGTGACATTTTATGTCCAGCTTTTAGGTTAAGGGTCAGCCTAAAACCAAAATTGCTTTACTTTGGTCAACTTGTCTTCTAAGCCTCTTTTCCCTCCAGCCTCATATATAAGCCATATCTTCATCCATTCAACTTACATTACTTCCAGATCTTGGTATTGTAAATAATGCTGCAATAAACTGGGGTGCGTATATTCTTTCAAATTAGCGTTGTTTTCTTTGGGTAAATACCCAGTGCTGGAATTACTGGATCATACAGTATTTCTATTTTTAACTTTCTGAGGAATTTCTATACTGCTTTTCACAGTGATTGCACCAATGTTATACTCCCACCAACAGTACACAAGGGTTCCCTTGTCTACACATCCTTGCCAACCCTTATGTTTTTATTTTTAGCTATTCTGATAGCTGTAAGGTGGTATCTTGTTGTGATTTGGATTTTCATTTCTTTGACGATTAATAATGTTGAGCATCTTTTCATGTGTCTGTTGGCCATGAAAGTCTTCTTTGGAAAAATATCTATACAGGTCCTGCTTTTTTGGTGTTGAGTACCATAGGGTGATTTTAGAAACATGATTTGTACTACAGAATACACTGAACTAATGCAGTGCTAAATAGATCTCCTAGGCAGGAAAATAAACTGAAAAGTGGTTCAAAACATAGCCCTCAGCTCCATAGGACAGAAAAGCTCTTTCCAAGTCTTTCAAACCTACCCCTATCTCCTAAGATCTATAGTTTCCTGGGATGGTAGTCTATATGGTGTATTAAGTGCCTGGGTATTACGTGCCTATCTAAAAACTGCCTATATTGTAAAGTTTAGGATATTTTTATATTTTTCCTCTCTTAGAGCCACAGTCTTATGATCAAACAAAAGACTGTACTTTTTTAAATGGAAAACCATCATTTTATTATTTCTAATGTAAACATGTGATGCCAAAGAAACAAAGGTAACTTTACAAACTCAGAATCTTTGCAAGTACATGAAATTCCATTTTATTGTGGCTTTCTATCACATCAGCTCAAATGCATTTCTCTACAACTACTTCAGCCATAGCTCTTTTGGATTATTTCAGTCATCCTTAACATGTGACTCTACCAAATACTTTAAATCTAAAATAAACATGTAACATTTTAATTAGCTTTTAGATGAATGGGGTAAGAAATAAAGTCATTAGGTAATGGCTGGGACTGTTCATTTCCAACAAGAAACTTTGTTGAAATGTTTCTTCTGATACAACAGCTAATAAATAAGAATTAAAAACAAACAAACAAACAAAAAACAAGGGCAGAGCAAAAATACAGTAAGAGAAACTTCTGCAGCTTAAGCCTTCCATAGTCCTAAACCTGAGAGAAGCAAGCAAAGCACCTTTCCTGCAGATTTAGTGCGTTTCCAGTATTTCCATGTAGTTGAGCTTTCAGAAATACACACTCAAGACCTATCATTAATATATATATTATCTTGGCTCTGGTTTTATTAATTATGCCTGAAGAGTTTAATACCCATCCAAGTCCAAAGGTGGAAGAACACATAAACTGGTATGGTAATGGGCAGGAGCAGACTGTAAAAGCATAGGCTGGTTGTGCTAGTGCAGCCCTGTGGGAAGTTTTCTTCCACAGAAGCTGAGTAGAACAGTCCTGCTAAAGAGACCAATGGAATAAGGACAGTCAACGTAGGAAGAGACAGAAACATTCTTCTCCCCCACTTATTACCTGCCCGTCTGACTTTTTAAAAGGTAGATGTTATTAAGAAAATTTAGTTGTGTGTGTTGCTGTTTTTAATTATCATCTAGTGCTGCTCCATTTCTTCTTGCTTCTTATTTTGATGTGTCATCCTAGCTGCCTGTGGTATCATATTAGGAATCCCATCAATAATTGGATAGGCTATTCCCAATTCTTCATTGATCAATTCATTTGTCGATGCTTCAAATCTGAGGAGGGCAAAAGGAAAACAGAATGAATTGAGGAAAATAAAATGCTTAGAAGAGCTTGGTTTTCAATAAACAACACCATTTATCCAATTCTTGTCAGATTTAATTCAGACTTAAACTGCTTTTAATCCTAAAAACAGTATTAACAAAGTGAAAAGACTTCTCTTAGAAAATGAATCTCTATTCACATTTGAATCTGTTTCTCTCATATTTTCTTTTTCACTTTCACTGAATATGCATTTTTTAAATCTAGTCAGAAAAGATCTCCCCTTTTCATCCAAACATTCCTTCCTTACTCTGGTCAACCCCAAAACCATCCCAGTGAATTTACTATTGAAACAGTCACTAGAGAAAAATTCAATTTTCCCGTGTTAGAAGGCATGCACGCTTAATCGAGCAACCTTACTGATCCATTAGAAGGAAACCACTGAAAAATCAAGGTATACAAAATAAAAGTTTGAGGAAGATGAGACAGCAGAAAGAGGAAAGTGTGGAAAGCAATGGGTCTGCAGTGAGCTAGTGACACAGTTAACTAAAAGGTAGATCAAATGGTCATTTGAAGGTATAAGAAAATCAAATACATTCATTAAGGGGGAAAAAATCTAGAAAGAAAAATGCAAAAAGAATTAAAATAAAACGGCTAGCAATCTACCACCCAGAGATAACCACTGATAACATTTCGGTGTTTAGTATATTCAATTTGTAATACTAGTGTTGTCAATGTTCAGCTTTAGTAGCCTGGAACTGTAGAGCTGTTTTCCTTAAAAGGTTAAGGACGCCTTTCCAAAACCCAGCTAATCCAGAACGAAGACCCAAAGAGGCACCACACACAGCTTAAATGTTTACGATCGTCACGCATCAGCTGAGCATTTTCACAAGAATCTGGAAGCTACTACAGTATTTTTCATCATCTTGTTTTAAAAATCTGAATGCCCTGGACCAGTCATGACTCCTCTAACAGCTCAAAAACCTGGCGGTACATTAGAATCCCTTAAGGTCCTTTTAAGAAAACACCTTGCTCTGGTCCAGCCTCCTGACCGCCCGGCTGGGTCGGGCCAGGGGTGGTGCCCGGGAATCTGCATTTTTAAAAAGGTGAGCTGGCAATTCGACGGCGCAGCCTGTGGCAAAACCGGTAAACGCTGCATTCGATCACTGCGGGTCGGCGGTTTGATTTGGACGGCCTCGGGCGCGGCTCCGCTCCCGCCACGTCTCCTCCCGCCCTTCCGCTGCGGTGGGAAGTGCGTGAGAACCGGTCCGGCCCGGATCCAGAAAATGGCAGCAGGAAATACCCAGACTGACCTGAAAGGGCGCCCCCGTGGCCGTGAACGGCCCGGCTCCCCCGCCCCCTCCCCGCCACCGGAGGGCGCGAACGGAAACTCGCAGCCGCTAAATCTCACCTGAGCGGCTTCTTGGAGAGCGGGCACACCAGGAACTCGAGCAGCGCAGGGTCGAAGGCGCGGGGCTGGTTCCCTGTCTTCTCGCTCTTGTCTGCCGACCGCCGCGATCCCGACGCGTGAAGGCACCTACGGGCGACCGCGGACGGCGGCGCGCGCGTACCCCTCAGCGTTGAGGCGAGGAGCCAGGCGCGCGCTCCGCTTAACATGGTCTGACAGCCGACCACCACACCGCAGCCCAGGCCGCGTCAGCGATCTCCGCGCAGCCAGCCCCTCGCCTGCCAGACCCCGCCCCTGGTGCTATGAAAATGCAGTCCCGGGGCCTAGAGGAGCCAGCAGCGCTTTGGTTCCGAAGGCGCACCTGACCCGACTGCTTTTTCGTGGCACCGTTCGGTAGTTCTGAGCGCGGCCGGCAGCCGGCAGCCCGAGGACGCTACTAACTGTTCCACCGTATTTACAAATTACAGACAAAACCAATGCTTAAATTGGGTGAGTTCCGTTTTCACGCAAGGGGTGCGAGGGAGCCAGTGGCCTGACCGCAAAAGTCACACAGTGTGAAACTTGGCCCTACGTGGTTATCTCCAAAATGAGGTTTCAAACACAGTCATATTGGATATGTTAAAGCTTTGATTTGTTTTATGTAAATCTTTACTATAGCCCTTGTTACCTTGTTTCTCTTTTATTTTTTCTTGTCTTATTAAATTAAAAGTTTAGAGGCTGAAAAGAATGCCATGGGCCTGTTAATCTCCAAGATATCCAGATTCTTACCCTGTGGGACTCACTGTTCAACTGCATAATAAGACACAACTTGTTAACTTCTATAAATGTGCTTGGAGACAGCAAGGAGTCTAAACCGTGTCATCAGGCGGATGCCCTTTGGTTGAATGGAGATCCATTCAATGGATTTTTTTTTTAAATTTTTTTTAAATGTTTTATTTATTTCTAGGAGAGAGAGAGAGACAGCATGAGCAGGGGAGGGTCAGAGAGAGAGGGAGTCACAGACTGAAACAGGCTCCAGGCTCTGAGCTGGCAGTCAGCACAGAGCCCGACGCGGGGCTCGAACCCATGAACCGCAAGATCATGACCTAAGCGAAAGTCGGACGCTTAACCGACTAAGCCACCCAGGCGCCCCCCATTCAATGGATTTTTTGCCCCAAGTTTGGTCTAAGGAAATAATAACAGGTTTGATCTTCTTATAGTGTGGTAGATTTGGGCTCTGGACCCTGGCAGCTTGTTTCTGGTCCATAGTTTACTAGCTGTGTGACTCCAGCAAATGACTTAACTACTCAGTTTCTTTATCTTAAGATAATAGCACCTACCTCATGAAATCTTCTCCTGGAAATTAAAATGGGATAATGCATGCAAAGAACATTTTGGAAAGTGGGACAGCTTAATGCTTAATTAATGTTATCTGTTAAATTTATTTCCTCTGTTCTTTCCGGTTCAATATGCTAGAAGATTTGTTAGTCAAAAAATTTTTCCCTTCGTTTAGCTGCATATTGACTTGAACCTTTTTTATATCATTGGATTTTATCATTTTACACTCTGAGGTCTTGGGAGGTAGAAATACAAGATTATATTTGCAAGTTTCTCTTCCACTCAGTAATGTGAAAGTGAATTGAAAAATTTTTTATGTTGTTTCTTTACTCTTTTTAAAAAGCCACTACATAATTTGATGCTGTTTGTTCACTAATGCTCAGAAGACTTCAGCATCAGGCAGTTTTCAGGGATGTAACCTCAAGAAAGACCATTGTAAAGCTCCTATGTTTGCTTTCACAGTATTTCCTACTAAGGCAGTAGCAGGAATTAATATTTCAATTGTAGTTAGTTGATACTTTGGGTCCTACAGAAGGAGTAGACTATAAGAAAGATATATTTTACCTATATTTCATCAAGCTGTGAGGAAGTAAGACTTGCCTTCTGCCAGCACTGAGTAGACTCAAGCAGGCTGGGCAGCACTGGGGTCTTACCCCTTGTGGGGTAGAGGCAGGCACCTATATTTGAGACCAGTTTCATTACCCTCAGTTTGGCATGCCTGGCTGACTGATCCCTATCACCTGGGTTTTCTAACCAGTTATAAATAAATTAGTTTCAGTTTGTCTCCACATAGAAGGTTCAAAACAGGTCAGTTTACTTTCATTTATGTTAGTATTAGGGGGGAAATGGAGAATAACAGCAAAGCATCAAAAACATCTTCAAATGTATAACGCCAAAAATCAACAATCAATATTTAGGAACATCTGGGTGTGTAATGTATTAGTCCAAACCATGTAAATATTAAGTTATAAAATGTCCTTAAATAGCCCTTAGTAATTAAGGAATATAACTCATTTCTGCATGAAGTATATATACTAAGCTCAATGTAGATGACAATATAGAATTGTAAAGTCATTAGTCCTTTTTTACTGTTGGCATGAGTGTAATCTTTCCCATCACAGAGCACTGTACACACATGTAATAATGTGATGGGCTCTGGGCTCAGCTAGGGTAGAGCTGTGTGACCTTGGGGAGGTTACTTAAACTCTTTGCCCCAATCTTCTCATCTCTAAGATAGTATAATCATAGTACCTATCTTACTAGAGTTGTTGAGAGGATTAAATAAAATAATACAAGTGAAGCAGTGAGCACAGGGACTGGTGCAGATTGCACATTTAAAAATGGTAGCAGCTGCGAAATGACTTATTGTGGTGAAGTTGGTGAAATTTCTGGTGAAAAAGGGAAAGCATAGTGTATCACTGGGCAACTTACTTTTAACTGACACAGAATTTTTATCTTTTCCAATGTGGATAATACTACACACAGCTCTTTGGCTATCACACACATTAAGTGAGTTAGAAATTTCTGGGCAGATTTGAATCTAGAATATATATTTAAATAAAGTCCCATAAATACCGAATTTGAGTGGTATTGAAATTTGGGAGTCTGATCCACAGAAAAAAATCTATTTTCCACTAGATGGCAACATCCAGTATTTGAACTACTATTTATTCCTGCTTGTATTTTTCTTTCTGTGATTACAAGAGTTTGCTTTTATTTTGCCATTGGTTTCCTTAATTTGATGATATCTATTTTAGGAAGAAAAATCACAAAAGTTTTTATTAATAAATTACAATCATGATATAATCTATGTCAATAAATACAGGATGTGATAGACAAAAAGTATGAAAGAAATTCATGAAGGAAAAAATGCAGTTGATGAATAAACATACAGTAAATTATCAATAGTAAGGTAATACTAGTTTCAAACATTAAGGAATGTTCCATTTTTCACCTATAAAAATAAAACAATTCTTAATATCGGCCATTTACTTATTAACTTATTGAAGGTCCACTGTGTGACAGGTTCTCTCTGAATTAGTTGGGGTTCTCCAGAGAAACAGAATTAATCACATACATAGCTGTATTTATTATGAGGAATCAGCTCATATGGTTAAGGAGGCTG